GCACTTTACAGCATTCACGATCGCTTGCCATTGTGAGCAGTCCACGAAATGATTTGGTTCAACCTCTCAAATGAAAATAACAGGACGGCGTATCGCTTTCCGCTGTCCTAAGCCGTAGCCGAATCGACCGCCATCTTTTTTTTTTACCCGAGTCGTGAACGGTAGGAGAAATCAGCGGAGAAATGAACGACTCGCGCGCGCTTGCGCAGTGGCGTCGCCGGTGCGTTCGAGGGCGAACCGTTCGTGTGGAAACGACCTGCTAATACTCCCTATAGTTATCGGAACACGGGAAATGATCTGAAACTCCTTGCGCCGTACACCTTTCTGGTTAATGATATCCGATTTAGTTAGTGTTTTTTTTTTTTTTTTCCAAACAATAAAGTTACGTTACCCCTGTGTTGTGTATCTTTTTCATCACATGCAACGCGTAACGTTCCACGGCCGACTTGCTGCCGAGAACGGAGACACACCACCGGCGCCAGTACGCGGCCGAAGTTGGGACGAGCAGCATTCACCTCGCTCGCGCGCCTTACAGGTACAGACATACGCAGCTCTAGAGAAGGAGACGAATTTCTTGCCTGTATATATTTATTGTGCGTTGCGCCACATTATGTATAGTACACAGCATTTCGCTACATTTTATCGATCACCGCGAAAACGCACAGAAACAGAGACCGTGGATTGGTTAGGCCTACGTCAATCACACCGATCAGCTCGGCTGGACCCGGGCGCGTGCCAGGGTTTCGAATCACAGTACAGTGCATACCATACGTTGAACTAAACAAGACGAAATCTGGTTGTATGCAGTAACAGTACCTAAATAAACACAACTTACCCTACTTGCAAGGTTTCAGCACCAGCGACGAATCTCGCGAATATTCGTCGCAGGAAGTTTGGAAATTTCCGAATCTGTCCGAATCCGAATCTCCGGTGATTCACCTTTCGATGCACCCCAACAGACGCCAGGAGTTGCAGGAGCCAATTCATAGCTCGGCGGGCGTCACGTGTCCTTCTGGCTGGGCGGAGCCACGCGGGGAGCGCGAAGTCACGAGACAAACTAGGGATTCGCTCGTGTGGCTTGTAGCGTCCATGATGGTACATCGTAAGGTGAAACGGACGTTGCTTGGTGCCAGGAAAGTGAGGGAGAGGAGGAGACGTCAGGACGCGGAGCTCTGACTGGAATGATTAGTGGTAGACCTTATGGCCCGTTCACACCCTTGCAACCGAGTACGACCGAGAGAGACCTGGTTTTTAAGCCTCTTGCGACGTTTTAGGACCCGCTCCACTGCAGCGCATCCGACCCCAAGAAGTCGCAAGAGGCTTAAAAACTGGTCTGGTCTCTCTGTTGCATATATGTGAACGGCGCTTAAAGGGCCCATGAAACGATTTTTGGGTTGGGATAAATCATTTTAGATTGGGATTTTACTAATAGAACATCGTTCAGTGGGCCAAATGAAAAAAGGTAGAAAGTCAAAAGCCTGACATTCAGTGCGAAAATTTGAAAACACAGCGGACTATTTCGTTCCTTCTCCCCTTCGTAACCGCTCTGCCTTTTCACTGGGATACATCCGAGGTCCCAAAAGCGTGTCATCGGGTCCAAACTGACGTCACACAAAACCGGACCTCATTTAGTCCCTTCACCCCTAAGCTGACATTGTGGTGGAAGCTACACGTTTGCCGGACCAATCAGCCACCTCCGTTTCATCACCTGACTTCATTCTCTGCAGCCACATTTGCCACGCTTACGTGGCAAAAGTGTGGCTAGCCCAAGGAGCACGTAGCTTCCACAGCACTGTCAGCTTAGGGGTGAACAGGCTAGGGAAAGAAACTTTTGTCTGAGTTTTGAGCGACGGGCTAATCTTCTAGGGGGAGAATGGATGTGTCCGGGGATTACACAAACCAGGTTCCGAGCGAGAGGGGCCTCCCTTCTTTTCGTCTTCTTGACCTGTTTGGTGGAATGCGCGATTTATGAGTGGAGGAGGAAAGCGAAACAGGAAAAAGTTGGAAAAGCGTTTCATGACCCCTTTAAAGGGATACTTCAACGAAATTTGAAGTATTCCCGTCGTGTTCAAAAATAGGTTGAATATGGCTACGTTTACATGGATGCGACAGCAGCGCATCGGATCCAGTTAGCGAATCGGATTCACTTCAACCACTAAGTTTACATGGATTCGGATCGACCAGAAGCGGCACCTCGTGTCTAAGGATCACAACGCAAACCTCGTGACCTTCAGATTGGGCGCGTTCAGTAGCGCCTCCCTTGCCTCCGAACGGAGTGCGGGAGTGCCTCGAGTCGGAGTCATCGGAGCGCCTACTGAACGGCAAAAAAAACCGCGGCTCCAAACCTGCTTCTACGCAACTTCCGCTTCCTCCCTTGTGCCAGACGGTCTCCGAATAAACTGGAAGCAGACGATGGCGAGCACGATCGCTTTTATTTGACGCCGGTATTGAAGAAGTCTTTACAAGGTCATTGAAGAAAAAGCGGGTGATTGTACACATCAGCGCTGCTGTTCGAAGCGATGCAACGCGATCGAGCCCTTCGCTTGGCTGTGCAAAGGCAGCTACTGTTATAAAAGCCGACAAAAATCGTCGTCAGTACACGCAAAATACAGAGCTCGGCGAATCTACCCCGCCGGTTGCGATACTTTTATACGCCCATAAGTTTGTTCTGCCCTTCGTAACGAACTTCCTATAAAATGTATTTGTATACACACGGGAAGTTCGGCCGCGCTCGGCGATCAAGGTTTTGTCGGCCGAAGCGAGCCTCAGCCAACGTGCACCCCGATTTAGCTACGCAAACAAAACATTAATCGGTATCATGCTCTGCGTGAGTGTCCAACGGGCTTCCAAAGTCGCGTTCATACCCTGTTTTTCTCTGTTGCGCGCGGACAGGACTATCGTCAATATTACCGAGTTTCCGTGCAACGGCGATCAAGACACGGCGCGTCAAATGAACGTTTGCGTTGTTTATTAGCATATTAAAACCAAACAAAATACGGTCCAGTGCATTTTCCGAAAGAGCCTTACCTCAAAAAGATATTCGAACGCGTTATTCGTCTTACCTTGAGCACTTTTCATTAACAAAAGCGAGCAAACCGCGCACCCGCGACAGAACCGAAGCAGCTTATTCCGCCATATTGTTTGTTTTTTCCTCTTTTAGCGCCGGAAATCGTCACCAGTCAGGAAATGACGTCATTTTAGCTCCTTTGACTCTACGTGCACCGTCTCCGGACTCGGTGCTTCGGAGCTTGACTCCGAAGCCCCGGAGTTACGTGCACCGGAAGTGACTTTTGGCCGTCCAGTGGAAGGAGTCAGTGACTCCTTGACTCCGGGGCCGCTACTGAACGCGCCCATTGTTTTCAAGGTCTCCGGTTTGCCTGGCGGCAGGCGAACCAAAGCTCCCGTAATCCCTCGCTCGAGCACTCGATTTCCGCCTTTTCCACAAGGGCGCCGCCATCTTGAATTGACGTCACTTCCAGTATGGGCGAAAACGTAACTTTGCCGTTGCCACGCCAATAGAAGACATTTAGGATATAAGCCTAACCGTCACACATTCTCGTTTTGGCTCGCCTCTATTTTTTTACTAGTTACAGGTTGAAACGTTTTACTTTTTTTTCGTCGCCCATACTGGAAGTGACGACAATTCAAAATGGCGGCGCCCTTGTGGAAAAGGTCTATACATGGAGAATCTCGATTCGGATTGACCATCTCAAACCACCCCGTCCCAGCGGATCGGATCGGATCGGATCGGATAGGATCGGATCAGAGTTGTTTACATGGACCGATTCGTTAACTGGATCCGATGCGCTGCAGTCGCATCCATGTAAACGTAGCCTATGATCCACAATATCCGTAAATGACAATCGCACGTCTGTGTTTTGAGCCTGGTGGCCTTCTCCGAGCAAGCGCTCGGAGAAGGCCCAGCGGAGACCACGTGACACCCAACGCAATCGTGACGTAGGTCGTCTCAAGACGACCAAAGCTACGGCGAGGCTGACGTCGAGAGGATGGCCTAGTCGTTCCAGCCACGGAAGCGGCTGCTTTTGTACGAATTTTGAGGGACGGGTTAATCTTCTGTAATCTTGTAGAGGGACAATAGCGACTTCTGCGACACACAAAAGGCATTCTCGGGAAGAGGGGAGTTCCTCCTGCACCTCTTCTCTCGTCGTGGCCGGAGGCGAGACATGTGTCGTCACTAGCTGTCAAGGTTAGACGGGCATTACAAGCGAGGCGTTAGCGACATCCACCAGGGGCTCTTTGCTGATCGTTTTAAAATTCCTTTTCGCGACTTTTTTTAACAAGATATTGGTATGTTCGATGTGATGCTGCTCATTTGAACACATATAGACCAAAAAATTAGCGCCGAAATTTCGTTCTACAACGAAATTTTGCCGCTCATTTTTTGCAGAGCCGATTGGCACGCTACCAGAAATGGACGATGAAACTTTGGCATCTGGTTTGGACCGCTAGGGCAACATTCGGGTGGAGATTGAGCATTTCACGACGCAGTTTATTTTTGCAGCAAAGAACAAAAAAAGACATGTAACATCTTTGCGGGGCATGTTGTAGCCGAGAATGTAGTAAAAATGTACCCCTCGAAGAATGGAATAGCTCCCAGTTTCAGTGTGCTTTACAAACGGCCCCCTCGAACCTGTTGTTGCAACTCGAGGGGTCACAACTCGTGACGTCCCGGGTGGAAACAAGGAGGTTGCCACCGAAAAATCCCGCTGCTATGACACTGACAAGATGGAAATGGGAAAGTGCCTCCCTCCGATGCAACCAGCATGTGCTCATTGTCCTTCGTCGAGGCTCACGAGACGCCAGAGCGAAGGTAGGCAGCCTGAGCTGGACCTCCCTGCTGGAGACCAGTCTTGGAAATACCTGATGCGTGTCATGGTTTCCGGCGGCTCGCCAGAGTACCTGGTTGGGACACCCAGCAGGAGGCACACAGTGATACGGGAAAGTATTTCTGTCCGAATATGAAGAGATTTACGAGGCAGTGTGGGTGACGTTGGTTTAATCGGCTTCTCCTCGACAGTGTCCTAATGGTGCGTGTTGGCTCACTTGCTTTTGCCCGGGAGGATGATGCCGTCGTACTGGAAAACACAAGAAACTGCCGTGAGGACACGTCCCAACCCCCGTGGGTGCACGACGCAGACTGCCACAACCGACGCTAGACCCATACGAAGTTCGGCCGTTCCTTGCGCGGAGGGTACAGTGTCATCGGGGTACTCAACTATGACCGGAGAATATAGTATGGAGGCGCCGAGGCGGAGGTTCGTCCGCTCCATGTGCAGACGACCAAGTAACATCGCAGCACCGAGCTTTGGCACCGCCGGCTCGTCAAGCAACGGCTGCAATGCCTTTCCTACGACAGTTGTTGGTGTTTTAGAGACAAGAATTCCACCTTCGAGGAAGGGGACAGGAACCGCTACGAAAGGTACGTCGTTCTTGCAGACTAAACACTACCGGACATGCAACAGTGAACAAAGATAGCAAACCGTGCTCCCAACGTCCGTGGAGCTCCGTTGAGGTCAGTCCCCCTTACCCCATTTCGCCTCCTCTCTCTCGCGCACAAAGAGACGAGCCTTGGTCGATTTGCCCGCTGTGCAGTGACCTTGCCGAGGTGGCAAGTGTTAGAATAGCCCCCGGGAATTTAATATTTAGATCCTCTTACGACGGCTAAATATTCGTGGGCCTCAAGCCCCAGCAGCCTTTTATTTGGGATAATGAAAACGGAGCTTCCCAGAAAAGACTGGGTACTTGAGCACAAAAAAGTGTAATGGGGAGCAGAAGCTGTACACCCTCCCCGTCAGGGAAAGGGCTCGGCAGACCGCCATCTGAGCGACAAGAGTGTACCCCACACAGAAGTGCACCCGCAATGCAAGATGGTGAGGAGACGAAGGCGAGATGGGATCATTTCTCTCCTTGTCCCTCTATTACGTCCCTAAACTTCCCAGACTAAATCTGGGGCAGATTATTTGTGAACCTGTCGATATCGCGGAAGACAAACATTCGACTAAAGATAAGCTGTCGTCAATCCATCTGTCTCGCAATACCTAGAGCCAGGAAATAAGCTACACTTGAAGCACTGGCTCTCCATTCCAGCAACATCCTCTAGAAGCTGCCGTTCGGGTGATTAGTGCGCAGGAGACAAATCTCGCCAGCCAGTTTTGTCGCACGGCCGCCGTTGTCGGCGGAACTGTAGTCTTTCTGCATGCACCACAACTCTGGAGCAGGTCTGCGCAAGGAGAGCCCAGAGCCGCCTTCTGTGGACTGGTTATGGCACGCACGACTGGTCTGTTGGTGATACAGCCCCCCAGATACGGTGTCAGCAACCTGAGGCAATATCCTCTGTTGGGGACTGTTCACCAGAATGTTTGAACAGTCCCCAACAGAGGATATTGCCTCCGGTTGCTGACACCGTATCTGGGGGGCTGTATCACCAACAGACCAGTAGCTCGTGTGTCATCACTCTCAAGATTGCCCGTGGTCATGACTCATGTTTATTTTGTGGCTTTAGATACCCAAGCGGCATTACCAGCGATTGAGAAATGCTTGTTTAACTGCTCGGTTCACGAGCTCGGCTCATTGGGGGATTGTTGGGCACGTTGCAGTCGAGCATTAGCTTTTCTCATCCCTCGAGTGTTTTACTTCCCCATGCACTTTGAATACAGTACCCTAGAATAATATTAAATGACTACCCAAACTCTGGGAATATTCCAGCCCCGTTTTAATGACCAATTTTCCGCCACCCGGTCAGATTCGATGTGAGGGAGTGTCCACTCTCACAAACGAGCAGTTGCCTTCTGCACTTATGCAGGGGGCCCCAACCAAGTTTTTATCAGCCACGACCAGGGCAAGGTTGACGGTGATTTCTGCCCCAGTAGTCCAGGCTCTCGCAGCCTCAATGTCCCACCCTTCGGGTGCAACCAAGCGACAGTAACGGTATAAAAAAAAAGCAGAAAAAGACCCCCCCAACAGCAAAAGAAAGCACGATGCAACTGACAATCCTGTGTAGGCACTACTTTTCCATCTTATGTTACAAAAGAAGCAGGCTTTTGCTCCCGGCTATAGACCTTTGAAACTCAAGAAAATAGGGCGAGGGTAAGACGGGCTGAGGAGAAGGAAGCAGAGAGGACAGGGGGAAACCTCCGCCTCTCTTTATCCTTCCGTATGCTTCCTCCTCCACGGCCTACCTTCCTCAGCTTCGAAGGACTACAGGGACAAACCTAAAACCTGGAAATGCTCCCAAACAAGTGTGAGATCAGAACTACCTTCTGCTGGAACCACTTGATGGCCTCCTCCTTGCAAAGCCGGTGCTTGCAGCCAATGGTGCCCTTCTTGTGGCGCCTGTGGGCCACGTTGAAGCCCGGCCGGCCCAGCACCACGTAGAAGTCCAGGCCGTAGATCCCAATGGTCGGGTCGTACTTGATGCCCAGGTCAATGTGCTCCTGGATGCCGAAGCCAAAGTTGCCCGTGTCCGAGAAGTTGTCCTTGCGGAGCTCGTACTCCCGCACCTGCGCTCGTCAAACAGCGAGACCTTCCGAGTCACTTACCGTACTTACTCCATTCTACCAAGGTTTGCACCATGCTCCGTGGAAAAAAAAAAATCACCATTGTAATGCGAGACTGACAAAGGAATAAAAATGAGCTGGTGTATCCCTCGTTATAATGAAGTCAATGGTATGGCAAGAAAATTCAATAGAAGCGGCACTTTGATAAAAGTGATAAAGCCAAAAAACAGTGCCAGCACCCTTGAAAAAGGACGGGAACACTGCGGAACACTCTGACCGTATATTTAATCCAACAAACCTCCGTTATGAACATCCCGCGGCAGCTTTAAAGAGATCATCAAGTGGAGTTTGCCCACAAACGCAAAACGATCGGGACAGCGGCATGCCTCAGGTGACGGAGGTGTTGACGTTGTTAGGAAAACGAGCATGTTCATTTTTAAAAGGCGCAGAAACCTCAGTTTCACTTTAAATTTTAAAAGTTGCAACACACTTTTTCGGTGTCAGCCACATTTCGGTCTGTGGCAAAACACTCTCGAGTGTGATGAACCTATCGTGGTGTTTGTGCCCCCAGCAACCTGAAAATTTTCAGATGTCCACATCTAAAAATTTGCTGGGGAGAACCCTGCAGGGGTACCAGCCAGTTGTACCGGGAGTTACAATTCAAGCAAATTAGGTTTATACTACAGGTGTTGAAAAGTATTGACTAGAAGTTTACCGCAAAATATCTGAAATTGCACACATAATGACATTTTATTTTAGGAACAAATTTAGATTAAAACCGAAGGGGCACAACTGGAAACATTAATGCTACAAGCCGTATTGCATTAAAGACGCTGAGCACATGTGGCAGATTACAGTCACCGTCGCTGACCTTCTCTCTGAGATACCGAGCCACTGAAGCGGGCTTTGACGAGCCTTCACAAAGGTAAATGCTGGAGAGTAGGCCACAGTCGGGTCTAAAATGGCAATAACCTTTCCTGTTTTGGCAATGATGAAGCGAAGTGATAAAAATAATAGTAGACAAAAATTGAAGGTCGATGATGGCGGCACTTATGCACAGCTGCTGCAAAGCGTCTATACAAAACAGCACGTACGATGTAGGGTGCAATGGTGTAATGGCTAGGATGTGTGGATGCATACATCAAATCTATTGGGTGAATCCATGAATGGACAGCGCCAGCTAAACCAAGGAATCGGATAGGACGGCGGCTTGCGCCACCTGGCAATGAAATGTTGTCGACCGAGCTTACACTTTCTGCTAAATCCAGCGTCAGTGATCTTTGGCAAAGCGTGGCGCAATTTTGGTCAAGTTAACGCTTCTTCGGTGGCAAAGAAAATTGTGAATGTAAGCGCATTTGCAAGTATGGCCTCTGGGCGCCGCCACACTGCTTGCTTGGTGGCAGTCATAATCGGATTATGGCCGTACCCATACTTGCAAACCTGTATAAAAATGGCGCAATTGGTGCAGCTGTCCCACCTCTATTCACTTTTGCTCATGAGAGTTGAAACATGGTAGTGCCAGTGTGCAGTTTCGCAGCATTTGCAAAGTCAAATATGTACGCTATATTTAGGGTTGTTCGTTTTCGGGTAAAACCGGAAGCTGGAGGTGGGATAAGGAAGGTTTTTTTGGAGAAGGAAATAGAATGCGCCACCTTTCCCAGATACAAGGGCTCTACGTGGCATTACGGAGTATGTTGCCAAACAATAAAGGGGGAATATCGGCATTAAAAATTGTGGTTCAATGCTAAACTGCACGAGTGAAATGCTAAAATGGGGGCACGTCGTGTTTACGTCGACACTGTCTAAAACGCGGAAACTCCCTAATTTATTAGAGCCGAATAGGGCAGGCACATTGCGTTACGTGACGCAGTCAGCGTCGTGCAAAGTGAGCCTTGCTAAAGAGAGCGGTCACCTTGAGCCCTTTCTCGAGGATCTCCTCAGCCTTGGGGCCACGGACAGTGCAGTGGACGGCAATCTTCTCGTTCCTGCGGATGCCAAATGACCGGACCGTGTAGCGGGCCTTGGAGAACACTGGCTGCTGCCCCGTCAGCTGTTCCAGCACCTGGGAGGCAATGCGCACTGTTTGCGGACAGCCAGACAAGACAGCCTCCAGCTCTACCACGAAGCAAGCCACCCAGCTGCCCAGAGCCACCACAGCCGCACTATTAGAGATGCTTCATAGAACACTATTCATGCTTTTTAAATATATCAGTCACCTAACTCTTTCCCGCAACCTATAACTCCATATCACACTAGATTTCCAAAAAACCTTGGTTTTCTTTACCGCCAGTGGCTCTTCTGGACACTCGCAGCTAACGAAAAGCTGGCTGACCAGTGATGAAAGCTCTCCTACACTTCACTGGCTTCAAAGGCCCCTACGCATGGTTACAGTTTGTGCACAACTCACAACACATTCTATTAAATTTTTTTTTTTGCCCGTTTTGGGTTTTAGTATATAGACTAAGAGCCGCAAGTCGAAACATTATTAGGTGTCCTGATTTTGGCCGAGGTTCGGAAATCTTTTGAACTCGTGTTTCAGCCGTAATAGCTAACTTGAAGGACATGGCATGTCCTAGTAGCATCCATTTTCTTCTGCCTCTAGGCGTTTTACTTCAAAAATGTGCAATCAACTAGCTCAACTTGTTGTCCTGGAAATAGCTAAACTGGAACAGAAAGGGTTTCTCGGGAGCCAGTCGAGTGGTTCGGCACGCCATTGTGATCCCTTACCTTGGCCGCCCGCGTCAGTCTGTCGCCCGACTCCCCGACACAGATGTTGAGGCAGAGTTTGCGGATCCGAACCTCGCGCATCGGGTTCTTCTCCTTGTCCTTCCTGCCGTCCTTGGGAAGCTTCTGCAACGAGGTCCGCGGACAATGACAGAGCGTCACCTACGAGCGGGGACGTCCCCATCGTCGCTGTACCTCTCGTTTAGTACCGCGCTTCAATCCAGAAGCACGAGTTGCAAAGAGAGGATTTGATCTGGCACTTGTTGAAAACTCAACACAGGACTTGGCGCAGAACCGGCGTCAAGAACCCGACGATGAGTGCGACATGTCTGATCATGCAGTGACAACAAACAAGCAGCGACGCGACAATAAGCGGCAACGTTTTTTGTTTTTTTTTCTTTCTTTTTATAAGCGTTTCAGCACTTTGTAAGTAGAGATGCGTTCACACGGGTGTAGTTTCAGGCAAAAGATGCGCTTGCAGAGCTGTGCACCGAACACTTCGCTGCGATTCCATACCAACCAGAAGTAACTCACTATATCTAAGGTAAAAATAAGTACAACATCAAACAGAGTTCACAGTAGAGAGTATACACACTGAATATTAGTTTGCTGTTATAAAAGTCACATACGGATGAAATTAGATTTAAAAGCACAGCGAAAATTGAGAGCATACCTTCGCCGTCATGGTGCCAACCGGAAAGGGGCTCTGAAAAGACCGGAAGCGTTAGAGAATCATGGGATGGAAAGCTTACAAATCAAGCAGATGTGCAGCACTACTAGGCCTTGGGATTGGACGGCAACTAGCGCTACCTACAGAGAAGTCTCAGAAGGTCACCGTGATAAAGGGACGTCGCGATTCGCAAAGCGGTCGTAGCCATTAGGGATGCCGCGAACTTTTTTCCGAACCGAGGTTTCGATGACCAATTCAAGCGGTTCGAAAGATTTCGAATTTTCGAACTTTCTATTTCAAGAAATTTGACGGAAGTCGAATTTTCGAACTTACTAAACAAAAGAAGTTCGACACTTTTCGAAATTTCAAACTTATAACGCTGCAAAATTAGATGCTTGTTGAACTTGGTAAATTAAAAAATTCTATGATTTCCAAATTTTCGAACTTCCTACGTTAAGAAATTCAAGAGTTTTGGAACTTTCAAATAGAGGTGTCGCGAACCGGCCGAGGTTCGAGTTCGACCAGGTTCAACTTTTTCGAACTTCTAGTGAAAAATTCGACGAACCTTGTATTGAGGTTCGACTCGTGTGCGCATGCGCGACAGGCTGGCCAAATGGCTTCGGATTGGATGGTAATGGCTAAGGAATAAATTAAGGGCAGCGCTGATTGGTTATTTCTAGGGGTGTCGCGAACCGGCCGCGGTTCGAGTTCGACCAGGTTCGACTTTTTCGAACTTTTAGTGGAAAGTTCGTCGAACCTTGTATTGAGGTTCGACTTGTGTGCGCATGTGCGACAGGCTAGCCAGTTGGCTTCGGATTAGATGGTAATGGCTAAAAGATGAATTAAGTGCAGCGCTGATCCGCTATTTTAGTCAATACAGTACTGAAATTTAAGTTATTAGCTTCTTCAGTGAATAGAATTAGTTTCTTTCAATTGCAGCTGTTCACAAAATAAAATAACCCTTTGCATAAAAAAAAATTCTCCAAACCTAGACATGCTTGTATTAAGGTCTGGCCACACTGTCCACAAAGTCGAACCGGTCGAATCTGGTGAAAAGTTTCGAAGGTTTGTCGAACCGATTCGACCCAGTTGAACCCCGAAAGTTCGACCAAAAAATCTGGTTCGACAAAAGTTCGCGACACCCCTAGTTATTTCACTTAAAACAGTACAAAAAAATTAAGCTATTAACCTCTTCAGTGATTAGAATTAGTTTATTTTAATTGCAACTGTTTATAAAATAAAAAAAACCTTTCCTTAAAAAAACCTTTTCCAAACCTAGACATGCTTGTATCAAGGTCTGGCCACACTGTCCACAAAGTCGAACCGGTCGAATCTGGGGAAAAGTTCGAAGGTTCGTCGAACCGGTTCGACCCAGTCGAACCCCGAAAGTTCGACTTAAAAATCTGGTTCGACAAAAGTTCGCGACACCCCTACTTTCGACCTTATTAAATTAAAGAATTCGAAAATTGTCGAACTTTGAATTCCTGAGAAGTCAAAAGTTCGACAAACTTCGAACTTTTACGATAAAAGTTCGAAGTTCGTCGAACTTCGCAAGTCCGGCGGGCGGTTTCATTTGGATTCAAACAGTGAAGTACATTCGTAATTTTTTTTTTTTCACATTTTTACATGCGGTGCCGCATTCCTTGTGAAAGGCAATGCCGTTTATTTCAATCATCTGGCATGCTTGGTTTTAAAGAAATAGATTCCCCAAGGAGCGAGGAAGGACGACGGGTTTTTGATGATTATCGTTTGGGCCAGATTTGAAGCGCGCTGTAGCCCAAGCTATTTATGGTAGAGATGTTAAACATTTTAAGAATGATCTATGTATAGCCTAGGTAAGTGTTGTCTTAAGATAAGATTATTGTTATTTAAGACGAGTTTCGAAGAAATATTTAAAGATGTATCTACGGGCAATTATGCCCTAAACTTGGTAATTTTTTTCGCCTAAACTGTTTGAGGTATCGCATTTAAATTAACACCACAGACAGTACATATCATTGCCATCTGCAGAATACAAAATAATGTACAGTACACATCATTACCATCTGCAGAATACAAAATAATTGTTCAAATTCAGCACGTTATAAAAAAAAATATATATGCTTAATTTTTTAATTTTTTTTATTTTACGTTTCTCGGACGTGTTTCTTTTGGCCTGTACACATTTTGGTAGGAGGAACTTGTTTCATAGTTCTGGGGCTCTGAATACGCAAGAATACAACACTTCCGGCCGGTTCTTGATAGTTTTTGTTTTTCTCTCCAGCTTTTTATTTTTGCATTTATTGTTATGTTTATTTATTTATTATTTTTTACCAATGGCACAGTTATTTAGGTCGAAAAGACATAGCTTTGAGCTTCCGAACCACCGAGCATGTGACGAGTAGTGCCTTCTGACAACGAGTTTCTAACAATGACCGTCTACGCAATCTTTTATGCAGTGAAGAGCGACAGTAGCTATACATATGCATGAATAATTTCAGATTAAAATAGGCTCGACCATGCCCTCTTTCCCCTTATTGTTTTCTTTAACAGTCAGAAATATCTGGGGTGGGGGGGAGGAAGACTAGCTGGAGCCCGCACCCCCTTCCCCCTCATTTTTCCTCTTCCGATGCCCTGGTGTGGTAGAATGCTCCTCGACCTCAAGTTGCGTCAGCTTCTGTACTTTTTGCTCGGCGTTTCTTCCGTTCCAGAAAATTAACCTCCAAAGCAATTACAAACAAAAAAATTGTCAAGGTGCAGGCGAGCTGGTGTATGTTGATCATGATGCAAAATCCCGAGACTGGGAATGACATATTTGAAAGAAAAAGTGTAAGAGAACAGAAAAAAGGGGACAGGACAACGTCTCAAACTCAGCGGAGTTGAGCTAAAGACGTTGTCCTGAGCTGAGTTTTCAGCTGAGCAAAGTTTGAAACGTTGTCCTGTCCCCTTTTTTCTGTTCTCTTACACTTTTTCTTTCAAATATGTCATTCCCAGTCTCAGGATTTTGCATCATGTACAAACTAAACTTACTATATGCCAGCGTCACTCGGGCGGCGTTCAATCGGATTACTACCAGCCTGCAAGGGGGTAGGGAGGCAGTTTGCCAGATCGCTTCAGGGCGTTTCTGAGCCTCAACCACCTGCCTGCCCCTGGCCGTTTCGAACTGGAAGAGTATCGTTAAACAGTGCGTTCGTGTGATAACTATTTCGTAATGCACAATAATGACCCCCCTGGGCTGGTGGTCACAATTACTGATCTATGGTCACACGTCACTCTGCACTGGCAAATATTCCAGCACATCCGCGACACTAGTCGTCTCATTTAATTGCTTGACCAGCTTCGCGCAGTCTAAATATCACACCCGAACTTTTCTAAACCCGATTTCGTGAAAACCAGTGAGGCATGAAAACGTTATTTGAAACTGAAACTGGTGGCAGAACATGAAAACCGGACATCAAACTTTCCGCACTTGGACTTGAAATAAATACGAAACCTTTTTTTTTTAGCCGTCAAAAAGAATCGAAACCTTCAAACTTTTCGAACTTTATGTAGAAAGAAATTCGAAATCTTCGAATTTATCGCACTTTATGTTTATAAGAATTCGAAACGTTCGAATTTTCCGATCTTCAGATCCAAATAAATTCGAAACATTCGAATCTCTTGAATTTCAAGTTAGGAAAGTTCGAAACCTTTAATTTCTCGAACCTCAAGTAAAAAAAAATATTCGAAATAATCAAACCCAAACTGTTAGAAACCGTGAAAGCTTCGAACTTTTCGCATTCGAAACTCCATGATTTTTGAAAGTTGCTAATTTTTCGAATTGGAACCTCCGTACGGTCGAAAATATTGAAACCTTTCTAATTCGAAGATTTCGAAACCTTTCGAATTCGAACCTAGGGTGGTTCGCGGCATCGTTAATAGCCATAGTTCGAGGTCGAATGGTTTGAAGTTTTCGAACCTCGCTTAGGTTCGAACCTGAAAAGTTTGCAACTTTAGAACCCCGCTGAGGCTCTAATTAAAAAATATTAAGGTTTCTACAAGTTCGAGTTCGAAGATTTAGATTTTTCTGACAGCTCTTCAATAGCTCGTTTGGAAAATTCGAACATTTTGAATTTATTTCAAAATCAAGTTTGAGGGAAATCTAAGATTTAAATTTTTTTTACAGTGGAGCTGTTAAGGGCTACTTTCTCCAGGATCGTGTCCGGTACCTAACAAATGTCGACACCGTGGTCGACACAACACTCTGGTTGCCGCTGTCACTCATAGATGGCAGGAGCTGTCCAGAGTGTTGTGTTCGCCGGTTGTCTGCTTGCTGCCGTCGCTCATAGATCGCGGCAACCTTTCCAGCCCCGGCAACCAGACAACTGGTTGCTGCCATCGCTCATAAATGGCAGCCATATTTCTTCGGAGGAAGAAGAGAGGGAACGGAACAAGCGGCGATGCGCGCAGCAGCGCGAATGGTTCCGCAATCACCGTGAGGCCGCTATCGCCTAAAGTTCCACTGCGTCGAGCACTTCAGATTTCCTTGCGAAAGAAGAGCAGATCGCTCGCCTGGAAAGCCACCAACGAGAACAGAAGCTACCGCTCCGCTGCTCTTCCTTCTTCGCCAGAGCGGAAAAGCTGAACGTTTTTCGAGGTACAAGGTCGAAAAGTTAGAAATTTCTAATTATAAGTTTGAAGTTTTATTATTTTTACGGAGGGATATGAAATTCAGCATTTTCAAACTGTTTCCATGAAATCATAAAAGAATAGCGCAATGAGCTACAAATTTCACTACAAACGTCGCCCATTTCTCTTATGCTGTGAATATAATCCTTCCTTGCTGTGGTTACTGACGGATACGTGAAACAAGCGTTGAACTAGTACTAAAGAGTTCATCAAAAAGCCCTAAGGTGGCCAGGTGAACACACTTCTTCCTTATTTGCAAACTAGTAGCAATCTGATTAAACGTCTGGCGTAGCCAGGAATTTTTTCGGGGGGGGGGGGCGGGGGGGGACGTTGCTGGGGATGTCTATGACTTGGGGTGCGGAGCCAGAGAGGGGGAGGGGGGTGAAAAT